GAGGAGGACGATTCTTCCATTTGTCCCTGGATTAACGGCGCTGCTCTGATACCATGTTGAGAAGCAGTTTGAGCAAGAACGCAGACAGGGAAGAGAGAAGAGTGAAAAGTAATGAAGAAATTATTTGTCTTCTTGCTCATAACAGTGATTACATATGTATATATAGAAAGCTAATAGTCTGATGTATAAATGGCTACAAGTTATTTAACTCATTTTGAAAGCTGTGTATCGGTATTGCTAATATATGGTATTGCTTCAATTATTCTGTTGAAATTAATCTTATTGTTACTTGGTGATATTTTCCTCGCCCAATTTTTTTAGCATCAAGCAACACATAACAACGAGAAATTATTCTGTCCGGTCACCAAATGGCGTTTAGAGATGAATGAGAGTATGCCACATCATTTTTTTTGTTGTATATTGCTGCTGTGTACCGCTCGATACCGTACTGTGTACCGCTCGGTACCAGGTAACGTGACCCGTTCTGATTCACCTCTGGACCATTCGGTGACCGCAAAGAATAATTTCTCCATAACTATAGGAAAGCAGTTCTATACACTCACCAATTTTTCTATTATATTAACTTTGTGTGGAAGCTTTGGGTGGGTAAAGCATCAATTATTCTTTACTCATCTAAATTTAATATCCTGATGCATTATATTACAGAATAAATTTTTTGAATTTTCACTAAAACTTGTATTATATATGATAATCTGAATCAAACGAATCTCAGCATAATCCCAGGGTAAATTCAATAAATTCTAAATGATGAGGATATCCTGACACAGTCTTTATTCATAATTAATGAAAAAATAAATATCTTCCAATAAATTTTAAACGAAGCATTTTTAGTTGGTGATACACTGATATGCAATTAAAAATTTGAACGAGTAAAATATTACGCTTTTTTCTTTCAAAATGCGTGTATCGCTATCAATTTTACCTGTTCACCGGAGCCGCCTCTAGCGCTACCGCCGATACCACCGGTGTGGCCATCTTCCGCCGGTTAATCTCGCAGAGCAGCCACTTCTTTCCTCTCTTGAATGAATCATTCGAGAACTCCCATCGATCCGGGACAATCTTCTTAAAGCCCTAAAATTCCAGCAAAAACAATCTATTCATCTTATCATGTTCACAAAACCAAATCTCCAAGAAGAGGAATCCTGAATAAATCAACTTACATAGGTATTCAGCTGCCGGACGAAACTTGAGAAGTTATTGTGCTTGAAGTATTTGGGAAGCAGATCGCGTGCAAACTCAACTGGCTTCCATACGACGAACGTCGATCCGTCATCGTTCCATGAGATCACATCATCGATCGTCGGGTCGTCAACAAGCTGATACGTCTTCGCCAAGAAGGGCGTAGGCATCGATCTCTGCGCTTCCACCGTCGCCGGGGGTTCTATTGCCAGCGGCAGAGCGACCATCTAGTTTTCAGGAGAAGGGAGAACGTAAATGCCTTGTAGAAATCGCAAACAGGGGAAGAAAGCACGAGAAGCGTCGAAGCAGGTTTCCT